TGGATTATTACTCTTTTAATTCTGATTTTATCAGAACTTGTAATACACTATTTTAAAGGTGATCAAATGAGCTACAACTTTCTGTATCATAAATTTTACCGTAACTTTCTTATTGTGAAACGGCGAAAGGTTAAAGAGCTCGAAAGACCTCTGGTTGGACAACCTAGCACTCCTTAATTAATCATACCTCTATCAATATTTGTGTAACGGAAAAACAATAAACAACAATAATTAGTCAGAAAAATACCTCGAATTTTCATATATATTATATACTTTTATACGTATTCTTTCAGAGATATTATAATGAGAATTGGATGTTTTTTTTTAATTTTTTTTTATGAAAATCATGAGTTTTTTTTGAAAATCGTTTGTACTAAAGTTGTGGTATTTTCTAGAATCCATCAAGATCTCTTAAACCAAGTTAATTCTAGATGGAATACGATTATTTTTAAATTGGTGGAAATGGCACTGAAAAACTATTTTATTTAAATGAAAAAACATATATGCGTCTTTTATTTGTATGATAGTTTACTCATTTTACACGCAGAACTCCTTTTAAAGCTTTTTGAGCACTATAAAAACCCATTTTCAATCTAGCCTAATAATGTTCCTAAAACACTATAAATAGCGATTTATTAAGATTTCAATTGATATAATTTTGTTTATTACATGATTTTTTTAAAATGTATATTTTTGAAGATATTAGCAAAAAATGATGAAAAAGCAAAAAGAAACAAATTTTCAGTAGCCAGTAACTTGAAAAGTATTAGCTTTTTTGAAACAAAATTTAAACATTTTTCTCTTATAATTAGTTTTCTATCGATACCCAACGTTATTTTGAAAAAAGTAAAATTACACCACTGAAAAGAAATGTCATCCACCCGAGAAGTGGTAAAGGAGTCTAAATTGTTTTCACTTCTGAAGAGTAAGATGAACCTGGTTTCAAAATTCCAAACGAAATGGAAAACAGTAAAAAAGTTCAGACCGAAAGGGCTCCATTGAGTAAATATTCCGTACCCAATGACAATAATATGAATTTTTGACAAAATGAAACTTCTAAATAATTTTTTTTGTATTGTGACTTTGTATAGTAAGGCAAAACGACTGCAATTTAATATTTTTGAGCGCAATCACTTATGGCTCGTTTCCTTTGCACGAATTCGTACAGCGAATCTGTTCGCAAAGTGCGCAAACAAAATTATTGCAAGCAAAAGCAAACACACGCGCACGTCAGACGCATGCGCAGACTGCATCACTTGTCAAATGCATGTTATATTATTTGCATCTTATATTAATTTAATTTTTGACACATCTCAGCTGCTTTCGGCATTAATAATGTAGACATTACATTTTCCTTAATCATAATCATGAATTTATTATATTTTAATATGCCTTAGCCTATAAGTGAACATAAATGTTTGGCAAATGACAGTCTTCAATTGTTTTAATGTCAAACTAAGCTTCAAATATTTTCAAGGGCAAACAATGATAAGCGGTTTTTTGTAATTTTTTCCATTTATTTCTACAATATAACTAATTTCTATGAATCAAAACATTTTAGAAAATTCCCAATAAACTTCAGGAAGATTCATGAAAATCCGAATTATAGTTTAGGAGGAATTATGAAACTTACATTGTTACAGAAGAATTTTATATATAAGATATATATATATATATATATATATATATTGAATGGTAGAGTCTTGGATTTGTGTATATTTGTAGAGTTTCGAACAAGAATCCAAAAATAATACAAAATAAAAAACAAGAAAAGTTTTTAAAAAACAATTTTTTTTATTTAATTATTTGTTTATTGTCGACGTTTCGGAACTAGGTACGTTCCATCTTCAGGACATCTGTCAAGAAACATGATCTTGATGAGATTTTAGATATCTTGATGATATTTTCTAAAAATCTCATCAAGATCATGTTTGTTGACAGATGTCCTGAAGATGGAACGTACCTAGTTCCGAAACGTCGACAATAAACAAATAATAAATAAAGAAATTGTTTTTTTAAAAACTTTTCTTGTTTTTTATTTTGTATTATTTTTGGATTCTTGTTCGAAACTCTACAAAATATATATATATATATATATATATATTAATAAATATCTAATTATATGGGACCGAGGAGGCACCGGGGACATAGAGGAGCAAGATTTGGCAAACGCCCGAGAACTGATGGCCCATATTAGAGAAACAAATAGGCCGTCGCAGAAGAAATAATTAAGATCTAATGGAATAATATAATTAATTAATGAGATGAAATATATAAATGAAATGATAAATAATTGTTAAAACCTTTAATATAATATTCCTATTATATTGTATAATCCAAATATTATAAAGTATTAAATATAATATAAAATTGTATAATTGAAATAAATATTTCTTCTATACAAAACCTACGTTATAAAAATATAACTGGCGCAGTCGGCAGAGGATATAACTCAGGCATCCATCGAGGAGACCGTTGATTTCAATCATTTAGAGTTATAAACTAAAAGAAAGTGAAAAATTGTGCAAAAAGTGTGAATCAACCGAATCAATAAGAAATCTGTTATTCACGAAAAGAAGCAAAAGCAACCTATTGGGTGAGTGAGACAATTTAATAATAATTAAGAAGAAAATAAATTGATAGATCCCCTTACCTATGCTTAGAACCGAATCCTAAAGATAAGTAATACAATTTATATTTCAACAAACCGTTTCATTAAATAATTCCATGTACGAGAGTTAGTTTATGGAAAGTGGTAGTGATTCTGAATTAGAAAGTTTAATAGAAAACTTAAACAAAATGTCTTTACAAAGCATACCAAGATTCGATCATGTTCTGATTGATACACATTCCATATTACGGAGGTAATCCTTCAGAATTAAATTCTATAACTAGAGTAAGAGAAATTAAAAACAGATATGACAGAGCGAATACATCGTGTATTCAGAATGAAATAATACGAAGCGCGATTTTAGCAAAATTGCACGATACAGCCAAGTTAACAGTAGAATTGCAAATGCAAGAGAAATAGACGACATGATAACAGTTTTGATAACTAAATTCAATGACCAACGAGATGATACATCTATTTGTTTTGACTTACATGATATGCGTCAAGGACCAAATGAAACAGTATATGAATTTTACGAAAGATTTGAACAGATAAAAGCATTTTTAATAGTTACTCATGCTTTCATATGACAAATCCAAATATTTTAAATGACCGATGCGATAGATTCGAAAAAAGTGCTTTAGCAGTTTCATAGCTCACGTAAAGCAACCATACAGTACAATATTGAGAAGCCGCGGAAGTTTGTTCTTTAAGCGAAGCTCAGCGAATAATTGCAAAAGATGATAACATAAACCATATCAGAAGTAATAATTTCAACTTCCAAAATCCAATGCAAAATAATAACAGACATTTCAGACAACACACCATAAATAATAATTCATCTCAACAAAATCAAATCTTTTGATAATCTGCACTATCCGACTAAGCGAGAAGATAACATCTTAAGCCTATAAGTCAACCCAAGTAAAAGCAAGATAAAGGATAGCACGATAATACACACTACTTTTGCCCTGTGACTCAGCGAGGGTGTAAGAAAGACAATAATATTTACACATTCTACGTCATCGGAAGAGAAATGCACCATAGCCAATTACTGATGACCTCAGCGAGATGAGTTTATCAAAGACCAATGACCATCTCATCCCCCGAAGATTTTGGCGAGATGAACCGACGACGATCTCCGAGAAGACGCGAAGGAACCACCACCCTCGCCAAGAAATCAACCCCACTACAGGAGTAGGAGAAGCCCAATTAGAATTTAAGGCCATACAAAATTAAGAAATTTGTCAAAAAGTGTCATGATTGCGCCCGCAAGATTAACGAGTTGGCTTAAGATATTAGAATTATTAAGTTTAACAAAAACGGTGTAGATGCATTTAATACTTTTCTATTGGACTTTGTGATATTGAATGCGGAGGCATTTAATAATTTTCGGACTTTGTAATATTGAATGCAGAGGCATTTAATAATTTTCGGACTTTGTAATATTGAACGCAGAGGCATTTAATAATTTTCGGACTTTGTAATATTGAATGCAGAGGCATTTAATAATTTTCGGACTTTGTAATATTGAATGCGGAGGCATTTGATAATTTTCGGACTTTGTGATATTGAATGCGGAGGCATTTGATAATTTTCGGACTTTGTGATATTCTGTGCGGGCGCACGAATAAGAAAAACTGTGTAAACTCTTAGTGCGATAAAGTAACTTCGACTTAATCAATTTTATTCCTTGTGTACGCGTAGTTGACTTAGTGACTGTATATATATTTCCGTGTTCTGTAACCTACATACCCATAAATAAAGTGATAGTAGTATTAAAATTGTGTTGATTTCATTTATTCCAACCCTACCCCATTACAAACTGATGCCCATGTCAGAAGAAATGTTACAGCGACTGATGGGAGTGATAAGCGCACAATCGAACACACGGACGGACTTGGTGACCGGCAGCTTTGCCAGGTGCACGGCCAGGTTCAACAGAACGCGGGTTCCTGAAAAAGTAAAGAAAATCACAACTACCATCGTCTTGTACAAAGACGTGGAGGGCATCTCGGACGAGAATGCGCTAAAGGGGCTACCACTACTTCTCCAGGACACGTCGGCCACATTGTGGGAAAGTGTGAAAACGGATGCCAATACGTTCGACGAGGCGATCCTTGATAAGGACGTCGTTCGCCCCAAGTAAACCTCCGCACAGCGTCTGTATAGACTTTTTTGGCACTCGCCAAGAAAAGAATGTGAGTACCGACCTATTCGTTTGCCAAAAGAGGGCACTGCTGGCGCAGTTGCCCTACAATATACAGGCGGTCCTCGACTTACGTCGTTTCGATTTACGTCGTTTCAAGTTACGTCAAACAATGTTTTGACACTATTCCTCAACATACGTCATTTGTTTCGATTTCCGGCATATCGGAGAATTCTGCCTATGCCTAGATTTAAAGCGGCTAAAGATCGTTTGACGTTGTTATTGGGTTCGAATGTTGAAGGTGATCTTAAATTGAAATCCCTTTTAGTTTATAGGTCTGAAAATCCTCGAGCTCTCAAAAATTACGTCAAGAGTACTCTTCCAGTTATATGGAAGGCTAATCCAAAGGCATGGGTTACATCAATACTTTTTGAAGAATGGTTTACTAAGCATTTTATACCTGAAGTGAAACAGTACTGTTCAAACAATAATTTGGCTTATAAAGCTTTACTTATTTTGGACAATGCTCCCGGCCATCCTGTGCGTATTGCCGATATTGATCCTCAAATCAAAGTCGTGTTCCTGCCTCCCAACACCACTTCGTGTTACAGCCGATGGATCAAGGAGTTATCGCGTCTTTTAAGGCCTATTATCTCAGGAGAACTTTTTCACAGGCTGTAAAGGCTAATGAAAATGATGGCATGGAGCTGAGAGATTTTTGGAAAAGTTATAATATCCTGCAATGCGTAAAAAATATTGCTACTTCATGGGATGAGTGACACCCAACAATTTAAAAGGAGTGTGGAAAAAGTTATGCTCATTTTTTTTGAGCCATCTGAAAGTTCTACATCTACAGATCAACCAAATGTCGATGAGATCACAACTGACATTGTTCATTAGCTAACCGTTTCCCTGACATTGCAGTTACTACTGATGATATTGATGATCTGTTAAGCTCACATTCGCAAGAACTGACTGATGAAGATCTTATTGAATTGGAGGCACAAGTACAAAAGGAAGCACTCGAGTCACAAGAAATAGCTTCTTCTATTAATGACTCTGAAAAAGAACTTACACTAAAAAAACTTTCCGTAGCCTTGCAAATTTGAAGAATGCCATGAAAATTTTTGAAGAAAATGATCCTAATTTTGAGAGAAGTTTTAACGTAATAACAAAATTTGTGCAGCCTATCACTGTTACCAAGATCTGTATGATAGCAAGAAGAAAGAAGCCAAGCAATCTAGAATTGATAGTTTCTTTAAGCCAAAAGTTTTTTATTTATTTATTATTACATATGTATAAGTTTTATAATTATTATTAAAATTAATAACACACAAATACCAAAAATAACTAGCAATTTCATAAGTGCATAATATAAATTATTTTAAGAACTTACTTTTAATAATAAAGTACGTCCTTTGTTATAAATGCAGTTTTTTTTATTATTTCGAGTCCGTGTGGAACCTAACCCTTGAGTTTTACATGTAAACATATGAAAAAATATGTCTCGACTTACGTCGCGTATTTCGAGAACCTAACATGCCGTAAGTAAGGACTGCCGTAAGTAAGGACTGCCTGTATAGACAGATATGCAGCTAGACATGCTCTACGGGCAACTACATAGCGGATCCGTGAACGCATCCCACGGTCAACGGTCAATACATTCGATGAGTTGCTTCAAAAAGCTCGAGTCGTGGAAGCTAACCTTTCCGAGGTAGAAAGGGGAGATAGCAATCCGGTGGAAAAACGGAAAACCTGCTCTTTTTGCGGCCACACCGGACACACGTCACAGAATGTCGCAAACGCCAAGGGACAAACAGATTGCTAAGAAGGAGGAGCCAGAAACTCGCAGCGAAGCGAGAATCTCCTGTTATGGGTGCGGCAAGGCAGGGGTTATCCGCAGTAAGTGCCCGGTCTGCTCTCCCCCAACAACTGCATAGGCAGCAGCCACGCAAAGATACGGATTCTTGAGCCTGACCACGCAAGAGCCAGGAAAATGCAGCCACTACAAGAAGAAGGGTCACTTGAAAAAATTCTGCCCTAGACGCCTGGCCTGTGATCTGAGATGGAACCGTCAATCAGGAGAATCCGCGGTTCAAGATCCTTGCTCCAGACCCGTCATTAAAGCACAAGTACAAGGCGTAATGGGTTACGCACTTGTGGACACCGGCGCAGAAAAGAGCATCGCGGGAGAAACGCTATACAAACTACTGCAGTCAACGAACCATCAATTTGAACCGTCAACGATGACAATGACGATGGCTGATGGAGAGTCGAAACTTCGACCCATACTAAAGACGACGACCATTGTACGGCTAGAAGACAGGCCGGTTCCAACGAAATTTGTCGTGATTCCGGAAGCTAAAGGAAACTACAGCCTGCTAGGCATGGATTTCTTGCACAAAGCCGGTCTTGTGTTAGACATGAAGCACCGCACGTGGAACTTTTCGGACCAGACGCAAAGTTGGCTTAAGATATTAGAATTATTTTGTTAAGTTTAACAAAAACGGTTTCAAAATTATTAAGTGTAGATGCATTTTGTTAACGCCTCATTTCCAACCCTGGTCTAATTATTATATTTTGTTGCCTACATGCAGGATAGCATTGCCAGACTATATTAAGATAACCAATAATAATGATAGTTTTAAAAGAAAAATAAAGAAGTACTATAAAGAAATTGAAGACAAAGAAGACTGAAGAATTAATATATCGATATTATATTAATGAAATAGATATTATAGTCGAATGAAATGCATATATTATATGGAAACTGTTTTTCATAATCTCTCATACCAGGCACCTCTGTCTGACTGAGATATGAAAATAATGTATATATGTAAATAAAAATAAATAAAATAAATAAATAAAAATAGCGATAATAAACCCTCATCCCTTACTATATAATTTAAAACGATAAAATAATCCCTTTCATTGTCACGGATCCTGTCCCAAAATCGGTCATCATATCAGTAATCCATTTTTCCAAGAATTTTAATCACCTGTCCCTAACCATATCGTCCTGCAATTAATTTATTTCCAAGAAACTCGCATTACGTGTACCCAGTTTTAATTCTACGAATCTGCAATCCCCGACCAATGCCTGATTGGTTGACAAATGTAACAGCTACTGATTGGATCCAAAATTGTAATGGGATGTCATTAATTCTACAAAATGAACCAATCAGAAAAATGTATAAAATTGTAAAATCTATATAATTTAGTGTCAACTAAAATATCTAACATCTATCAGTCGTAAATTAACACTCAAAGCTATAACATCTAATTAAAACTTCAACTATCTAACATATCATCTATCAGTCTTAATATTCTTCCAAATATACAATAATTAAACATTTATTTATCATCTTTCATTTTTATTATTCAATCGGTCTGATATAGCCAATAACTAAATATATCTGGTCCTTCGACAAAGTGCAAGTGTTTCAATAGAGTTCGGTAGCATCTCGCCGATCACGGACTTCTTAAACACTTTTAATCTATCTTAACAACATACTTTTTGATCCATTCGAACCGAATGGTCAAATTTAATAAACACATTTAATACTTTTCTATTGGACTTTGTGATATTGAATGCGGAGGCATTTAATAATTTTCGGACTTTGTGATATTCTGTGCGGACGCACGAATAAGAAAAACTGTGTAAACTCTTAGTGCGATAAAGTATCTTCGACTTTATCAATTTTACTCCGTGTGTACGCGTAGTGGACTTAGGGACTGTATATACATATATAGATATATACATATATATATATATAGATAGACATTATAGAGATATTAGAATATATATATATTATAGAAAGATAAATGGATATATATAGATATATATACTATGATAAAATATAACTAGATATATATATATATAAAATCTATATATATATATATATAAGATCTATCTATATTATTAGGGTGGTCCTTAAAATGGTCATTTTCGACATTTCTTGCTCCCAGGGGGCAAAAACGTTTTGTATGGAAATAGCATGGAAAAATTTTCAAAAATTTTAAAAATGTTTTTTAAATGTAATTTAGCGAACAAATGAATGAATAAAACTCATTCATTTGTCGCTAAGTTAAACCTAAAGCATTTTTTTTAATTTTCAAAATTTTTTTCATGTTCTTTCCATACAAACTTTGATTGAATTGCGCTCTATCTAAACGTTAATATTATGAGCTAAAACTTTCAGAGAATTGTTTTTTACCAATTTGGAACCATTTGAGCCCCTGGGAGCAAGGAAATTCGAAAATGACCATTTTAAGGACCACCCTAATATATATATATATATATATATATATATATATATATATATATATATTGAATGGTTGAGTCTTGGATTTGTGTATATTTTGTAGAGTTTCGAACAAGAATCCAAAAATAATACAAATAAAAAAACAAGGAAAGTTTTTAATGAACAATTTCTTTAATTATTTGTTTACTGTCAACGTTTCGGAACTAGGTACGTTCCATCTTCAGGACATCTGTCAAGAACAACAATACAATCTCACAGTTCTCGTTTCAAGTGTTTACACGTGTTACATATGAACCACCAAATACAGTTAGTTCGTTTCCAAAAGCCAATAGTATAACATCGAATAAAATTATTTGTTTTCAAATAATAATTTAAAAAAAGACAACACTTTTAGTAATTTTGATTTACAAAAGTTAACTATTCGGCGGAAAAAATAACTCAACAAAATTCATTTTTTGTCAAAAATTCTTGTTTAGTGAAAAAGTGCTAACGTATATTCAAACATACAAGTAATAATTCAATTTATCATTAATCCTTCTTAAAAAAAATTTTTCCATAACTTTCAAAAATTTCTATCATTTTTAATATCCTGTTCTGATATCCACTCATTTATTTTTATCATTTTCATTTTGATCATATTATCATATTTCTGTACATTATTATTTGTTACAATTATTTATTATTTAAGAAAAATCTATTTTCTATTCCTAAACCATATTGTTTGCTTTAAATCTCATCAAGATCATGTTTCTTGACAGCTGTCCTGAAGATGGAACGTACCTAGTTCCGAAACGTGACAGTAAACAATAATTAAATAAAGAAATTGTTTATTAAAAACTTTCTTGTTTTTTTTTATTTTGTATTATTTTTGGATTTCTTGTTCGAAACTACAATATATATATATATATATATATATATATATATAAATATATTTCCGTGTCCTGTAACCTACATAAAGTGACGGTAGTGTTAAAATTGTGTTAATTTCATTTATTCTAACCCTACTCCATTACAGCTTGTAAAATTCCTGCTTTTAAAGAATTCAAAGCTAATGAATATCTTTCCTTTCATTTGTTTATTAGGAATTAGGAAATTCAAAGATATATTTCATAAACCAAATGATAAATTAACCTTTACAAATCAAGTAAAACATGAAATTCGCACAACAGATGAAATTCCAATCTATACAAAATCTTATCGATACCCTCACGTACATCGCGAAGAAGTGAAACAGCAAGTAAACGATATGTTAGAACAACAAATAATCAAATCAATCAAACATATGGGGTAGTTCCAAAAAAATTAGATGCATCAGGAAAATAGAAGTGGAGAATAGTTGTAGATTATCGAAAAATAAATGATAAGACTTTAGCTACCCACACACTAGCGTTCTTTCCTCTAGGAAAACCGTTATTC